GTACATCGTGACTGTGGGAATGTTGTAAGGGGAAAGAGACAGAGGGAGACCGAGAGAGAAGATGCTAGACAGTCTGGCATGATAGCATGGAGTATCATCTGTGCCAGAACTCATTGAAAGTACACGAGACAGAAGATTGTGGAGAGGCATGATTAGTAAGGCCACACGGCATGGACTATAAGAGGAAGAATAATCGCATGTACGCACACAAACATACTTAGCATACAAACCAGCATATTTATATACATAAAGACGCAAGCAAACACGAGCATACAAAGACATATACTTATCTTCATTTTCTGACTTTTGTACCCAGTAGAGCCTCGGTTCAATGTTGCAGTCTTTTAATATCTTCAAGAGAATCGACATAATTGCACTGTTTTATCCCATATGGTTTAGTTTCTCCCCGCAGAACAGGTAGTCGCCTGCCGAATGCATTGCACAAAGGACGAACTATGTAGCTCCGGCGATTATCCCCAGGGATCGCTGTAAAACAGCTAGACCCCTTCGCCACGTAGCACCCAGTATTCTGAGAATTGTATGGGAAGGCAAGTGGCCACTCCATCTCATATATCTTTGCCCAGAATGTTTGAACAGCCTACACTTTGAAAATAATGTTAAGAAAACCTAATACTTTAATAACACCCACAGAGTATCTGCTATAGGAGTATCACGTATATAAAATCTAGACAACATGAGAGGTCTTGATATTCACCTTGTAGACAAACCCCTGGTGTTGTAGTTTGTCGAGTTCCCTTCCACTGTATATGTTTTCCCTGTTCCAGTTTGCCCATATGCAAATATTGTTCCATTGTAGCCATTTAGGAAACCTGGGGAATTTACAGTGAAATAATAATTAGTATGTTATAGCATGTCAGGGATATCGGTTGATGGACACATTGTTAACAACCCGTAATATGCGAACAATATAATTTTGAGGGCTGAAAATGAAAAACAGCTTCAGGAAATAATGGACTTGACTATAAAATAAATTCGAAACAATTGTCATAGTATAAACAGCAGATGAACAGAAGTAGCCTACGAAATGCAACGTCAAAGTAGAATATTGAATGTTAAATTAAGAATCGACACCACAGCACTCAGGAAACACTCATCTGCGCTCCGTCCCCATCTTCAGCAGATCATCAAAGTAAATGTGGCAATCCTCAAGCAAGTTGATAGTAAGTACTTGGATATCCTGATGGCTCTTCACGTCTCAGGCATTGCATCGATTTTGGAGAGGAAACACTCATTATTGGTCGCCTTTTACAACATGCTTGTTAGGGGCAGTAATTCTTTCGCGTTTCCTAAAACTAGACCCTGGCACCCGCAGGTGGAACCTCAATATTAAATTTCAAGATACGTCTTCCCTTTCTCCAGTTAAATGTGTTGCATGGTCGTTCTCTTGATATGTGATCGTTATTTTTCTTCTTTGATGATCTTATTTTGTCATGATATTGTCGTTAGATATCCACGCCATTTCATCTATTGTTTTTCATCAAATGACACAACGGATGTGAGCCCTAGTCTGTTCATTTTGTCCCTTATAATTAAAACTAAATAACATCATCATGCGCTGTGTAAATGAAGGTAGGCGGTTATACTTATTTCTTCATGAGCACCACGAACTCATGTTCCGCCGCCTCCAACCAGGTATTTTATCACTGTTCAAGTTACTACAGACTAACACAACAAACATAATCGAGAGGAAGGACACAGATAATGACCCAGCCGGACCAACATAAGAAATCTACACATGCAGCAACAAATACCAGAATAAACGAGACAAAGTCATTGAGTCGTTAACCATGGCACACGAACCCAGTCTCAGCCAATTAACTTGGCGCTAGAAAAACAGTCAACAATTATAACCAAAGGCTTCTTTGATAAAGGAGCTGGTTGGGTTGAATGTGGTACTTCTTCCCCCTCCTCCTCATGAAATCAGACAGACAGGTTATACAAAAAATAAACAAAATAAACCAGGAAATAGAGAAGTGGCCAATGTCTTTGCAATGTTTCGAAATTACTCACTCTGTATGATGCCTTTTGCCACGCCATCAAAGACATCCTCTTGAGTGGCTTCGGGTCGGAAGATGTCCGTGAAGACGATGTCGTAACTGAGGTTACTGCGGACAGCCTGGTGCGAGCCCAGAACCAGCACGTCCCTGTTGTCTGGGATATGAACTGTGAGGATGTTCCTGCTGATCTCATAACCACTGTACGGCTTCTTAGTAGGTTTCAGACGAGCATACGTTTTAATTTGAGCCATGCTGCAAGACAAAACACGCTAGCCCTCCCTGCTAAGCTCTCTTTAGCACCAGCTTTTCTTCTCTTCAGAGTCCATCAAACAGCATTGTCCAGCTTGGACTGCTGGGGAAAATCTGTTCAGTTATTGGAAAGTAAAATGTATTTATCACTTTTTTTTTTAAATGTCGGTGTACGAATTAGGGCCTGCTAGAAATTACCGCGTTCAACCCAACCGGCTCCTTTGTCATGGGAGCTATTGGTTATAATTGTTGTCTGTTTTTCTTGCGCATGAAGTAGCAAGGCGTGCATTTAACGACTGCAATCGCCAATGGCCGCTTACAGTTTCCATTCTCCATCCCCCCCAAAAAATGTATTTTACTTTTTAATATTTAATGTTTACTATTTACTACAAATACACCACTCGGTTTACATCTCAAAACGCTCGCTGCCTGATTACGCCAGTTAATGCAGAAACTGTAAAGTCTGAAAGTTACCAATAATAGTACTACAACGATGGCCACGCACGCAATGGTTACACCATGCAGGTGTAATAACCCGCAGTCCCAAATAAATAAAGAACAGGGTAACCTTTGAATAAGTCAATAGGCTTATGAAGTACTACCTGGACTTGGCCAAACTTCGCGTCTGTCGTCTTTACTTCCAAGAACATTACCTGGTACTCATTTTAGGCTGGGCTGACCTAAGGGCTAAGGTCAATTATAAATAAACATGCGACTCGATGAGGATTCGAACTCAATATCATAGGGTCAGCAGGTGAGCATCAAGCCACCGCAGCTCTGCCGAGAGTTGTATAAAGAAAGATGGTTTCACGTGGAACAGGTTATTCTCGCCTGTTTAACTACATCTCAAAATTGGACCAAAAATTTTGATATCTCAGCCTCACCACGGCTGGACTTTAGGTTACTTTGTAGCCTTTGTCAGAAGTCCTAATCTAACCTTACGGTTGAAGGGGATTTCTAGGACTTGCACCTGGGGAATTATCATCCAGATAGTGGCATTTTGTGTCACCAAGGGTTCACAGTTCAGTGGCGGTCTTAGCAGGGTTCAGTTTCAGACAGTCAGTAGAACAGGAAAATGGAAATTAAAAAAAAGGAAAATGACCACAACAAAAATATTCATTTTCATCTAAGCTAAAAATAAACAGGGACAGTAATGCAACATTTCAATGATAAATAATGATCACTAAACATTGACTGTAAGAGCAAACTACTTTGTTCTGTACCAGACTATTGATTACAGACTTTACAGAGATGATAAATAAGCTTGTAACGACTGCTGCTTTCTCTACATGTATTTAGACTAACGTCTAATAAAGAAGGAAAAGGGGAAAATGAAGGGAGCAGGAGGGGAGGAGAAGAAGAAGAAGAAGAATAAGAAGAAGAAGAAGAAGAAGAAGAAGAAGAAGAAGAAGAAGAAGAAGAAGAAGAAGAAGAAGAAGAAGAAGAAGAAGAAGAAGAAGAAGAAGAAGAAGAAGAAGAAGAAGATAAAGAAGAAGAAGAAAGAAAAGAAGAAGAAGAAGAAGAAAGAAAAAGAAGAGGAAGAAGAAAAAGAAGAAGAAGAAAAGAAGTAGAAAACGAAATTACTATTCCCCCGTGTGGGTTCCGGGGTCCTATTATAGGGAAAACAAGAATAGACCCACTACCTACCCAAAAGCCTGTGGTAAAAGTCGACTTATTAGGAGCTTCCTCCAAAGTCGGAGTGCATCTCCCTGAAAGGCAAGGAATCAACAGTCTGCACACACATGTGTAAATCTGTGAAACGGATGCACACGCAAAACTCAGGTTCTGGAACATGATTTCAGTCCAGAAGTGTACGAACAACTAGAACTTTTCACCAGAGTTTACAGCTGGTAAACACACAAAAAATAAGAAAGTAGTTACTAATAAAAGAAAAACAATACAGATATACTGTGTTAAATAACCACGGTTTAGATGCTAGCTAAGATCAATAAGTTATAAAAATAAAATTTAAAAATACTATTTTTTGAAAGAATGTCAGATGACAGAGAAGAAAAATCTATACACACAAGGGAGATGAAAGGTCGTAGACCACGAGGCAGACCGAGAAGACAATGAAGAGTTAATATCCGGACAGACCTGCAAACACTAGGTGTCACCAACAGGAAAGAAAAGATGAGTGGAGGCGGGTGATATCTGCAGCAATGAACCTCAAGGGCTCAGAATGCTGAAGAAGAAGAATTGCTTAAGATACCCACACAGACAGCTGCCATCGTTCTTTCAAGCTTTCATATTTGTATTATGGTTTTGGAGAGATATAGTTTGTAATTCAAAAGAAGCTCAGAACAAACCATCAGCTGGTGGCAATTGTATCTGCCCAGCGTCCACGCTTTCCTCTCAAATCATGGGGAATATAGACGCGCCATCTTGTTTCTAACATTCCCATGATTCAAGGAATGGCTTTCTGTTTATAAAAATGATGTTAAGAAATTAAACGAAATACGTAAAATATAATAACTGTAATACTAATAGTAATACCAGATTGTGTGTGTGTGTGTGTGTGTGTGTGTGTGTGGCAGCTCACTGTTTTTGTTTCTCACAATTAGTGCCTAGTCATCATCATCAAGTGTCCAGCCAATTGACGTAGGCTATCATATCTTTCCACCACCTACAATATCTAACAGAATGTATTAGTTCATCTGCTGGCACTCCTTAATCATCAGCATTAGGTGTCTTGCCGACTGGTTAGGTCCATCACGCCTTTTCATAATCTAC